GGGTAGTGGTTGTGTCAACATAGGTCAGTCAAGTAAGGCTTGTCAAGTCATGTCTCTGAGTAGGGATAGTTTTGTAATGGGCCTGTCGGATTAAATCTGTGGTAGTAGGATTTGTAGATTTATAAATTTAATGAAAGTTGTCATACAAGGCTTACTTCCTGTTGATGGTACCAAGAAATGACTGAATACAGGCAAATAGATCTATTCAGGTTTGGCGCTTTTGACCCCACATTATGTAATAATCTGACACTTTTTGTAATAAACAGTAATAAGAGTGACCAAAACTCACACTTTCACACACCTTTAATCTCCAAGGGGTTAAAATGACAGTTAATTAATTTGAAGTTGATCTGATGACAGCTCTAGGAGAAGTTAATTAAAAAATGGTCACTAAATTCAAAATGGCTGACTTATTGTTGAGTTTAGTTTATTGCTCCCTGAAACTTTTTTGTTCATATTGTCCTGATACATGTGTGTACCTAATTTTGTAAAATATCATTGAAACCAACCAAGGGGCTGCGTGCTGTGGAGCCATTTGTCCTATTCAGATTTCTCCAGAATGAGTACATTTTCACCACTTTTGTATTTTCTATCTATCTTAAGTTTCATGAGTTTTTGAGCATATTAAGGCCCTCAAAAATGTGATTGTTGTCCCCAAATATTAACAATAATCAAAGCCAATCCAATAGGGTCCTCGCACTTTCTGAGCCGTAAAAATAATCAGAGCAATCCCAATATGGTTCCTTGCATTTCAGTAGGGTCCTTGCACTGTTTGTGCTTAGGCCTGCTAATAATAATCCCTTAAAAAAAAAAGGGCCCAGCACCTTCAGTGCTAGGGACTCTTTCAGGCCCAGCACTATCGGTGCTCGGGCCCTGATAATAATGATAATCATAATAATAATCCATTCAAAAAGAATAAGTCTCTTTCACTTTCATTGCTAGGGACCATTTCCGCCCCAGCACTTTCAGTGCCCTAATCGGAGCAATCCCAATAGGGTCCTTCTTGCGGTTGCTGCTCGGGCCCAAAATATAATTATCACAGCAATCACAATAGGATTTCGCCTGAGGCACACTGGAGGCTCTGTAGTGTAATTTTTGGTCATTATGCTATGTCACAATATTAATGTGACTATATACCTTTAATCTGCACGATCTGCATGTTTGTTAAAGTTAAAAAAAAAGAGACATAAGTTACTGATGATTACAAAAAGTTTAACGCAGCAATGACGAATCAAATAATATACTCAGTGTGTTACAAGCAGTGTGATGTGCATGTGTAACTGGTATAAAGAAATAATAATAAAAAATGAAAACAAGAAAACATAACAGTGTCAAATCAGAGACAAATATCTTTTTAAAAAAATTAGTAAACGATCTGTACAGAATATAATGGTGTAAAGAGTATGAAAAACAGTTTGAAGGAAAAAGAGACCTATCAATGCATGATAGGGGCTCTCCAGAGGGAAAGTCCCAGCTCCAAGGCCATCAAAGCCACTCAGGTGTTTGGAGGCTTTTAAGGGGTAAACTCAAGTCCATCATACCAAAGTAACCCCAGGGCTTGGAGACTTTCCAGGGGGAGGGTCGTAATGTCAGACCCTCCCCAATAACCAATAAGATTAGATCACAACGTCGGACCATAAATGATAAATGTAATGATAGACCAGTAACAGGCGTGGCCCTTAAGGATAGATAAAGCGGAGCAACACCACTTTTAGTCAGAGTTTTTCTCTGGTGTGGCTCCGGCTCACTACTGAATGCTCTCGGGTTTTCTTGTCGACAATAAAACTCTGCTGCTTTTAAGTTGACTTCTCTTGTTTTTTATTCAGCTGAATTTTCGACTTTTTGACCACAAGTGGAACTTAGTTTTCATCACAACAGCGGAACAGTAGCAGAACGACTGCAAAGCTGTTCTTCTGCGTGTTGCGGTTGTGTGCCTGTCACAATAGCCGACGTTCAGCATATTTGACAGATTTAGAGAACACCTCCAGCTGAACTAGGGAGAGTCAATTGGCACAGCTGAGGTTAGTTGGCCAATTAATCTCCCTCAAATATAAAGGCGCCAGGAGAGCTGCCACCAAAGGATAAAGAGACAGACATGAAAGAGACTTGACAGAGCTGAGCTGCCAAGATGCCAGCAGAAACTGCTGGACAATTTAGGTTTGGTTTAAATTTAAGTTTGCCTTTCTCATCAATAAAATTATGTTGAAAGCTGAATGTTTATTGTTGGGAGATCGCCTGTGGCAACATCATCTGCCACAGTGGTGCCCAACATGGGGCCCAACACAGCCAGGAAACCTTACCTGCAGCCAGACTGGCTTGAATGGCGGAGGAGTTTGTGGTCATGTACCGGGAGCAGGCGGTGGAGGGCAGACGGCTGCTGGAGGCTCTCCAGAGGCAGGCGGAGAAGTGGACAAAGCTGCCAGAGCGTCCCCCGGCCTGGTCGGGGGCTGCTCTTGTATACTGCCTCCGGACGACGGCTCCTGTTTTCGGTCCTTCGATGGAGGTGAAGGCGGCGAAGCACGTCGGATGTTGTACTGTCCCCACTTTGGCGGTAAGGTGGTAATAGTCAAAGCAAATTCAAGACCAGACCATGTGACCAAAACTCACACTTTCACACACACTTTAATCTCCAAGGGGTTAAGATGACAAATTTAAAGTTGATCTGATGAAAGCTCTAGGAGGAGTTTAATGTGATGACTTCCTGTTTGGTCTCACATATCAATCCAACAGAGATTTCTGCTAATTTTGAAAAGACACGTCCCTACCAATTGTTGTACATCGTAAGTCAATCGTGTTGCTAGGGCTGCTCTTTAGGGGCCACTCTTCAGCTATGACCAAAATTGTTACTTATCCAAAATGGCTGACTTCCTGTTGCATTTTTCATAATGCTCCTAAGATCTTTTGTTCGTCTGGTCATGAGCATGTCTAGGCCCTGAAAAAGCACCCCAAAGAAAATGATTATCAAGCATTTCAATTTCAATAAGGCCTTCGCACAGTCATGCTATTGCCCTTATAATAGTCAGAGCAATTCCAATAAGATTCTTTCACCATTAGTGCTTGGGCCCAAATAATCAAAGAAATTCCAACAGGGTCCTCATGCTGGTTCCTTGAATTTCACCAGGGTCCTGGCAGTGTTTGCTGCTCGGGCCCTAATTACAGCTGCAAGCAGCAATGGTCAGGCCCCCCGCAGTCCATGCAGGGGCCTGACCATCGCTGACCATTTCCTTCAACCACGTAGAAGTTTGGGTAAATTAAACATATACACTCAAATGACAAATTCCACATACATCATCAATGTGTTCTGATTGCACTAAAAGAAAGAGTCAATATGATTATTCTGTAGGTGCTTGCTCATTGTGGGAACTATTGGTTTTCTCTATATAAATACTAATATATTATTATTATAATATTTTAAGGTCTTGACCTTCTATGTAAGGTCTATGTAAAGTGCCTTGCGATAATGTATATTATGATTTGGCGCTATACAAATAAAACAAAATGTGATATTGATCTTTGTCCTCCAGGCACCAAATTCTATTCATCATCTTTTAGTCCAAGTGAATGTTTGTACCTAATTTGAAGATATTCCCTCAAGATGATCTTAAGATATCATGTTCAACAAAAACATTGACGTACATTGTAAATGTTTGTGCCAGACGAGGTGAAATTTTCTTTGGGCATTTTTATTTACCTTTATGGTCGACCACGAAAATGTAATCATCTCATATTTATGTCTAAGTGAATGTTTGTTGTCCTGAAATATCACATCCACAGGAATGTGAGGTCACTGTTACATTGACCTTTGACCTCCAAGCACCAAAATAGAATAAATTCATCTTTTGACTAATTTGAATACATTTTCTCAAGATAATCTTAAATATCATGTTCATCAAAAACATAAACATGCTTTGTGAGGTTAACCTTTTTCCTACCAAAATCATTTCAATAAATCCTTGACTCCAAGTGAATATGTGTGCCAAGGATTCCTTGATGATGTTACAGAGATGAAAATGTTCTTTTTGAGGCCACTGTGAACTTGACCTTTGACCACCACAATCTAATCAGTTCATCCATGAGTCCAAGAGAATATTAGCACCAAATTTGAAGAAGTTCCCTCAAGGCATTCTGGAGATATCGTATTCACAGGAATTAGACATACTGACAGAAAACCAGAAAACATAATGCCTCTGAGCCGGCAAAAGCCAGTGGCAGGAGGCATTATGTTTTTGGGTTGACCGTCCCTCCAAGCAAAAAAAATAACCAAGCAAAAGTTGTTCATCACAATCAACATTGCCAACTTCCTTTTCAATTTTTGTAATCTGGCCATGATACATATACTGACTGATTTTCACAAGTCGAGACGTGCCACCGGGGCGGCTTTGTTGAAATTTTGTAGGTGGCGCTTTTGAGACATTTTGCGAGACCCATATTGGAAGTAAATGCTGTTATTTCCAAATGAGTTTTGGGATTTGTCCAACATGTTCAGCCCCCCAAATGAGATCAATTTTAAAAGTAAACATTATATTTGGGTGAGTTGCCACAGCAACAGTGTTCAATGAAGATGCACAAGATTCATTGACCAAATTTCAACTGGATGAGGGTCAACCTTCTAGGAGTACATCACAGTATAAAACATGTAATTTCTTGTTGCCAGTAGAGGGCGCTATGACTATGGCTGAATATTGTTCAGGTGGGGACTCTCATCAAACACATGAAGGTTGGTGCAGATTAGATTAATGTACACTGAAGTTAATAATCAGAGCAATTCCAATAGTCATCGCATTGTTTGGGCCCTGAAAATATAGAAATATTATTCTTCGCCAAATGCAAAAAAAATATTGCTCCAAAATTAAAATGTTGACAGGAAGGGAGAAATTACCCTTTACTGTGGGGGAAGGGAGGGAATGTGCAGTTTTGGCACCCAAACCTGATTACAACTGAAATTGATATCCATGAGTCAATTTGAAATGTCATATTTCACATTGATATACTGTACTTACATCACCTCCCAGTGGCTTAATGTCACACTTGACAGTGGGGCTCAGGTCCTGCCTCATTACCCAAATGGGCTCCTTGGGCTCATCAGGTGTGTAAGGAGATCTCACTGTTCTGGTCTTCACCTCCTCTATGGCCTCCTTAATGTCCTTGATAGCTAGAGATATGGTGTCCCTCTTCTCACAACTGTTCCTCATTGCTACAGGGTCCTCTGAAGGACTAACAGACAGTTGTGTGGCTGGCTTCCCCCGGTAGTTGGCTTTTTGATGTTTATCAGAGTCAATCTGGGACTTATTTTGAGGTTTTTCTACATCCTGTGGTAGCTCACCTTTTTCATACATTGTGCCCTCTGCATTACAAAGAAGACTCTGAGAGCTTCGGCTTTCTTTTACCTCACCCACAATGCTGTCAATGTCCTCCACCTGCTCACAGCTGTCAGCACGGGGGTATGGGGCAAACTCAGCCTCTTTCTCTGGGCTGTCTGACTCGCCATCCGAGCGTTCATCATAGTGGCGCAATCGGGAACCCACTGCCTCCTGCTGATGGTAGTCACCACCTACTGCCTGGCCCTCCAACAGTTTAAAGCCAGCCTTTCTCTGTTCAAGAGACTCTGTGTTTCCAGCCCCATTTGCAGCAGATGAAACTGATGGTGGGGCTTCGCAGATTTCCTCATATACATGCTCAGACAATGAGTAAATGTCATATGGCTCAGAATAGGCTTCATCTACTAGTCCGTTATCAAAACTCTCCAACTGCAGACCAACCAAGACATCGGCCCTTGCTCTGGAGTAGCTGAGGGGTTGGGTGTAGATGTAGCTGGAATATCCAGCATTCAGTGTTTCTTCTGAATCATCCTGTCTGTGGGGGCTTGGGATATTAAGCAGGGGTTCATGTGTCATGCGGGGGGGTTGAGGATAGTTATGTTGTGAATGGAGATGTTGCTGTTCAGCCTCAGCACTCTCAGTGTATCCCTCTGCCTCTGGCCTTAGCTGGACTTCATAGTTCCCAGCCTTGTCCTCTGCCTCTGGCTGTGCCTCAGTCTCCAAAACCATCATGACCAGACCATCATCCCCCTCAGCCCGGTCAGTATGGGTGTGAAAGCCACTCTCAGTGCTTGCTGAACGGGCCAGCACTGAATTGTCCCTCTCTCGTTCATCTTCTTTGGTCATCTCTGGATGGCATTGCTCATTCTGGTGTTGTGCTCTCTCTGCCTCTCTCTGCAGCCTCTGTCTATGCCTCTGATGTTGAACTCTGATCTGGGCCTTGTTATCCCCCTGTCTTCGGTAACGTGTCACCGCAGGTCTAGGAATAGGCTGTGTCTGCTGGGGCTGTGGAGACTGAGCTCCATACAGCGGCTCAATGCTTCGCTCATTCTGTGGGTGACACAGTTGTAGTGCCCTGGCTCTGCCACCATCACTGCCTCCAGCTGGGGCCTCACAGCATCTGTGCTGCTTTTCCTGATTGCTGTAGTTACGGTATCCACTGTAATTATTATGGCAATGGTGAGGAGTCGCATTGGTTTCCTGCATTGCCAATTGCTCACTTTCCATCTCCTGATGGTTCATATCTGTCTGACTCTGGTTAGTTCAAGTGTCAGAGGAGTTTTAGGAGGTTTTAGGAGTCCTTCATCAGCAGGCAGCAAGGGAGAGACTGTAAATGATAGACAGAAAGGGAGGAAATGTGAGCAAACGTGACCAAGCAGGGACAAAAATAAATTAATTGTTAAGGCTCTGGTCTGACTAAAATCTAAAGGTTATTGGTTGAACATGTGATTCTGGACATTTGGTAACATAATGACAACTCACAGGGATTACTGTCAGAATACTGCAACTGGTAAACTAACCATTCACATAAGCCAGCAAAGAATATGCAAGTCCTTCTCAGTCACAATAGCAGTACAGGCTCAGTTGTTGCCTGCTGCGCTGCTGCTCTACCCTGCAGGTAAGACAGCCACAACCGCACCCATGTCCATGCACATGCACAGTCTCATCAGAAAGGCTGAGGAGGAGGAGACACAGGGAAACAGGAAAAACACAGTGAAGAGTAGAGAGGGAGCCTGGAGTCACAGGAACCATGATATTGTTTTAGACCAAGCTATAATGGCAATGACGGCCAACTTTGCATATCCAAATCATTTCTTCCAACCAATTACTCTGTGAAATTAAAGTCTTATCCAGTCTGACAGCTCTCAAATATGCTCAATCACAACTATAAATATATAATGACAAGTCTTATATTACCTTTATATTTTCAGTATGTCTACGTTATTATAATACTGCACTAATCAGAATATTGGCTGAAATCTGAAAATGCAGAGACATTGCATAAGCAAAGCTCAAGTCAAGAAACAGTAGAAGTCAGATGATCACAGAGGTTGAAAACAAATAAACAGTTGATCTACTTGAACCATTTTATCTGCAGGTCAAAGTAAGAGTTATATTTATACAATATTAACCTTTATTTATACATGAGGAATCATTGAGGGAGGCCCTCATTTACAATGATGTTGAGTGACAGGATACAATAAAATACATATATATCTATATAGATATATAAGATGCATAAAAATAGCGAACATACAACAATTAGAGGAAAAATCAATTAAAACATACACAGCCATTTAGCTTTATCTTCTGTATATCAACCATGGATTTAAATTCCACAGGGGCTACTAAAATAATAACTTTTAAGGCACTTTGTAATGAGTTCCAGGCAGTGGCTCAAAGAAACTTAAGGCAGTTCTGCCAAGCTCTTTACAAATGTTAGGGCCCTGCAATAAAAGCCATTCATTTGAATGCATTTGATATCAACCGGAGGACCATTGTAGCATTAAATATGCATAAGATGGGGTCTGTAGTACAAAACAAGTTAAACATACCCAGAATATCTGTTCTAGATCCAGCTGAACTTAACCTAAAAGTCACAGTAGCTCAGCAGCCACACAAAGCTGGTTATCAACTCGTTAAGTCAACCCAGGTTTTCGTCATCAAGATCTGAGCATGTGCACATGAAAGGGGGGGTGTTTACCGTGTATGACTAATCACTGACATGAAGAAGTGTATTGACAGAGAAGTGTATTTCACAACGAGGATCATAACAGAACAATCAAATTATCCAGGCTAAAAAACACAGTTAAAGCAGCTAAATCTCTGCACTGACTCTGAGGACCCACTGTGGTAAAAACGTTTGCAATGGGGGCGCTGTGGGAGCGATGTAGATGTAGGATGTGTTTCACACAGGCTCAGTTGGAATGTGACATTTTTTACACTTTTATATTACACTTTTTATTTGTTTTGCTGGCGTTAAGCCCTATCATTGCAGCCTGTCACTTTATGTAAACCTTTTTCGCTTGTGGGCACTTTAAGATGGCAAACCGAGGGAGAAGCAACGCTACTAAAGCAGGCCGTGGCAAGCCCCGGCTATCACCTGAACCACAATCCCCAGGTCAGCCAGATGCTAATGCCACCTTGTTGTTGAACATGAGGGAGATGATGGATGAAATGCGCTCGGACATCCTCAGTAAGTTTGAAACCACCATCTCGGCAGCAGTTAAAAGAGAGATTGTGGCGGCTTTGGAGCCCTTTGAGAAGAGACTCACTTCATATGGCGAAACGATCGCGGACCTCGAGCGCTCGGCGAATGCCAACGACATGGAGCTATCTGACCTCCGAGCTAATGTTAGCAAGCTAACCACCACTGTTGACTCCCTGTCAAGAAGTGCGAGGACCTGGAGAGTCGTTCAAGGTGGAATAATGTTCGCCTAGTGGGCCTGTCTGAGGGCACAGAGGGTCCTCTTCCCACCGAGTTCACGGCCCAGCTCCTACAAGACATACTCGGTCTTGACAACAAACCTATGCTGGACCGGGCTCATCGCACTCTACGCGCCAAGCCTAAGGATGGCGAGCCCCCTCGTCCACTCGTTATTCGGGTGAACCTGTTTCAAGTCCGGAACCAAATTCTGCACCGAGCTGGAGAAGCTTCCCCTCTTTCCTACATGGGCAGGAGGATCTCGATCTTCCCCGACTTCACCCCGGCGGTAGCTAAAAAGCGGGCCGCCTTTGCTGCAGTAAAGAAAGAGCTTCATTCCTGCCCAAATGTCAAGTTTGGGCTTCTCTACCCAGCAATGCTACTCATCACTCTGCCCAGCGGACAGTCCGACAGGTTTGAGGATCCGACATTGGCGCTGAACTTCATTGAGAAGGATATTAAAAAGGGAGTCACCCCGGACACTATTTAGTTGACATGTTAACTTGCTGTTATTGTTGCTGGCCTTGACTACTACATTTGCCCCTCACCAGGGTTGCCTTGGTTTCTTATTGTGTTCAGTGAGCTACAGTTCTGAGGGGATACTGATTTTGTTTTTGATTGTATTATGTATCGATTTAATAGTCAGCTTTTGCTACCTGAATTAATTCTTAGTACTTTCTTAGTACATTTATTACAGTGTGATTTCATTGACGTAACTTCATGTCACATTTCCAACGCCTAAGTAGTTGTAGTTCATTTGGTGTTTGGTATAGGCTTTTTTCAGAACTATAAGAGGTGTGTCAGATTGATTGTTCAAGGGGGTACATTGCGCTCATCCCGTTTGGGGGGATGCTTCTGCTAAAGTTCATGTGGGTGGGAAGGGAAAGGTATGTGTGTGTTATGTTTGTTTCTGTTTTTCTTTTTTTCTTTTTGTTTTACATCAGTCAAGTTTTTGCTTTCAGTTTTGCTTCAGATCATCACCATTACATAATACTATTGTTACCTAGCCATGATCCCATCTAATATAACAACATCATCCAGTTGGTATGACATTAGATTCACAAGTTTTACTGCAAAGGGCTCAATAATCCTATAAAACGAAGTAAGATTTTGCACCATCTTTACCATCTTGGGGCCCATGTAATTTTTTTGCAAGAGACTCACCCCAAGGTCTCAGTCCACTCTAAACTGAGGAGGGGATGGGTAGGTCAGGCTTATCATTCCTCATTTCAAGGCAAATCTAGGTGTCCAGCTATCTTGTTACATAAATCTGTTCCCTTTGTGCATTCAAGTACTATCTCTGACCCTAACGGTAGATTTATTATAGTTGCTGGCCAGATTCATAACACCTGGGTGGTATTTGCTAATATTTATGCTCTCAATTTTGATGATGATGCTTTCTTTAAACGCCTTTTACTAACTCTCCCTTATTTGTCATCATACCACTTAATACTAGGTGAAACTTTAATTGCTGGCTTGACCCTCAGCTGGACCGTTCTTCCCCCAGAGCTTGCGCTCCATCGAAATCAGCTAAGGTAATCCAGTCCTTTATGGAGGAATTTGCTGTCACCGACGTTTGGCGCTTTTGTAACCCTTCTAAGAGGGAATATTCATTTTTCTCTCATGTCCATCACACTTTCACCCGCATTGACTATTTTTTGGTTGATAAAAGATTTCTCTCATTGGGATCTAATTGTAAATATGATGTTATTGTTATTTCTGATCATAACCCTATTTCTATGGATATTTGCTTTAAGATCTTTAATTCTACGCGTACGCCATGGCGTCTTAATACATGCCTTCTTTTAAACGATGATTTTGTTAACTTTGTCTCACAACAAATTGACTTCTTTGTGAGCTTGAATAAAACACCCGATGTGTCTGCCTCAGTACTTTGGGAGGCCTTAAAGGCATACATCAGGGGGTTGATAATTTCCTACGCAGGATATGAGAAGAAACTCAGGAGAGAGAAATTAACTAAGCTGACGCAATGCATATCTGAACTTGACAGGTTGTACGCTACTTACAAAACTCCAGAGCTATATTAAGAGCGACTCTGTCTACAGTAAGAATTCAATGCCTTGACGACACACTGTACCACTGAACTTCTCCTACAAACAAGGTCCAAGTTCTATGAACATGGAGATAAGGCCTGTAAATTGTTAGCCCACCAATTACGTCAGACATCTACATCTCACCATATCCCACAAATTCAGACTAATTCGCGTATCACCACTGAACCCATGGAAATGAATAATGTGTTTAAGGAATTTTATATGTCTCTCTATTCATCTGATCAAGATACCACTCCTGATTTTGACAGTTTCTTTGAAAGTTTGGAGATTCCCTCACTCGATCAACCAGCTGCGGAAGAGTTGGAGAGGCCAATTACTATCGCTGAACTTAATACAGCTGCATCATCTCTGCATAATGGGAAAAGCCTTGGGCAAGATGGCCAAGGCCTCTGAATTTTTCAAAAAGTGTTGGCACAAGCTTGCCCCTTTGGTATTGGATGTGTTCAATGAATCATTTGAATCCGGCCGCCTTCCCCAAACTCTCAATCAAGCCTCCATTTCCCTTCTCCTAAAAAAAGGCAAAGACCCGTTAGCCTGCACCTCTTATCGTCCAACTAGCTTATTGAATGTTGATTTTAAATTGTTATCCAAACTATTAGCATTACATCTAGAATCCATCCTCCCTTCCATCGTTTCCTTGGACCAAATGGGGTTCATTCGGAATAGGCACTCTTTCCTTAACCTTAGACGTTTGTTCAATGTACTTTACAATGTCTCCTCTTCTGACACCCACAAAGCTGTGATATCATTAGACGCCGAAAAGGCATTTGACAGAGTTGAGTGGGATTACCTCTTTTATGTCTTGGAGAAATTTGGTTTTAAGAATAG